AAGCTGCCCGACCTGGCCAGGCGCCGGCGAAGCGCGACGACCGGCGGCCGTCGCCGTCCGCAAAACCGCCCGCGGCGAAGCCGCCGCCGAAGGCGCGCGCGGGCTCGTCGGAAAGGCCGCCGGCGGAGCGGCCGCCCGCGCTCGCCCTCAAGGGGTCCGTGGGCCAGCAGGCCGCCAAGATTTTGGACGCGCTGCGCGCCGTCAAGCACCCCGACGGCCAGGAGGCGGCCCTGGGCTTCCTCCACGAGAACATGCTGCCGCCGGAGCAGGGCGAGTACGCGACGGCCATCGGCGGCGCGCACAACGCGCGCGACTTCAACCGCATCGAGGCCAAGGCGCGGGGCGGCGGCTACCGAAATTTGCAGGCGTTCGGCGACGACGTGGCCAAGTGCTTCGCGAACGCGCGGGCCTGGAAGGCGCGCGTCGAGTTCCTGCACCGGGGCGCGCCGGAGGCGTGGTGCTCGCAAAAGCCCATCGCGGGCGCGATCGTCGAGGGGGCCGATTTACTGGCACCTTTGCTGCGCACCTACCTCGCCGAGGCGCCGGTCGAGGCGCCCAAGTCCGTGCCCAAGCTGAAGATCAAGAAGCTCGCGCGGCCGCCCGCGCCGCCGAGCGCGCTGCAGCAGTCGGCGGCGCACGTCGCGGCCGCCGTCGCGGCGTTGCCCGCGCGGCGGTCGCCGAGCCCGCCGCCCGCGAAGAAGAAGCGCACGCCCGGCGACGTCGCGCGGAGCCCCGCGGCGGCGCGGGAGCCCTGGGTGGCCCAGGCCGACCGCCTCTTCGACCGGGTCCGGAACAGGGCAGGAAAAGAGAGCGACATTCCCAACTTCAAAGGCTCCGATCTCGGCCGTTTTCCATTCGTTCCGGCTGATTTTTGGACGAGCGATCATCTCTCGGAACGGCCTCGAAGCATGGATGCTTTTTCCGGAACGCGCGCGTGCGGAACACTCATGTTGAAGCGACGTTGAATCACTCTTTCGCTGCCCAGGTCCGGAAGCACGAGTGGGTCAAGCCCGACGGCTACTACGGCAAGGTCGTCGGCTGGCACCGGCCCGCCGTCGAGGCCTTCCCGCTGATCCGCCACGAGTACCTGGCCAAGATCGCCCGGCCCATGGACCTGGGCCAGGTGCACCGCCAGCTGAACGGCGGGCGCTACGCGACGTTCCAGGCCGTCGTCGACGACCTGGTCCTCGTCTTCGACAACGCGATCGCGTTCAACGCGGACGCGGCGACGGGCGTCAACGGGCCCAAGGACGACCTGGCGGCCAAGATGGTCGACATCGCGTCCCACATGAAGCACGTCATCCACCACTGGGCCCTCGAGTTCTTCAAGGACGAGGACGGCGCGGCGGCGTCGTCCGCGGCGACGCGCGACACCGCGGCGACGCGCAACGGCGTCTGCCGCGACGACTACGCCGTCGTCCTCGACGCCGCGGAGCTCGAGCGCGAGGCGAAGCGCAAGGCCCAGGCCGAGGCGGCGAAGGCGCTCGAGGCGGAGGCGCGGCCCTTGGATAAAGAAGCCGTCGACGCGGCGCTCGCGGGCGACGCCGCCGCGCCGGCGCCCGCGCCGCCGCCGGAGAAGCCCAAGGGCAAGAGCATCGAGAAGCCCAAGCTCCCGCCGCGGGCCCAGGCGCGCTTCGACGCGCGGCGCGCGCGCGACGCGGCCGTCTGGCCGTCGACGCTCAAGTACAACCCCAAGGGCATCGGCGAGGCGCGGCAGGTGACGCCGGCGGCGTCTGTTTTTTTTTTCCGGAGAGCGGGGAGTTTTTTTTCCCCGGAGAGCGGGTCGTGTACGCGCCTCCGCCGCGCCGCCGACGCCGCCCGGTCTTGTAGAGAGCGGGTCGCGTACGCTCGCCTCCCCCGAAACCGAGTCCTCGCGACGCGCGCCCCGCCAGGTCCTCCGCGGCGTGCGGAAGCAGCACCTGAAGAAGCACAGCCAGTGGTTCGAGAAGCCGTGCTGGCGCGGCGTGCCCGACTACAGCCAGTTCGTGTCGCAGCCGACGTGCCTCGAGCGCGTCGACGCGCGGCTGAGCCTCTGCGCGCGCGACCGCGCGAACCTGCTCGACGCCGCCGCCGCCGCCGCGGGCATCGACGACGACAAGCAGCTGGAGCCCTACGAGACCATGGGCGACTTCGCCGCCGAGTGCAAGCGCATCTTCGACAACGTGGTTGCCCGCGTCAATTCTACGGTGGTTTGACTCCTGGGCACGGAGGTGCGGCCAGACGCGCCTCTACGCCGGAATGAACCGAGACTCGCCCCCATGTACCCAACCACCTGTACCCAAACTTGTGAGCCGAGATTCGCCCCCATGTACCCCGCCACATGTACCCAAACTTGTGAACCGAGATTCGGCCCCATTTATTTACCCGGCCCATTGACCCCGATTTCCCCCCCCAGGCCCTCGCGTACAACGAGCGCTACCGCAACGACGTGCGCAACGCGGCGCACGAGGTCTGCAAGTCCGCGGATCTGTTGGTGCCCGTGCTCAACGAGGCCCTCTTCGCCCTGGCGCTCGAGGGCTACGAGCGCGTGAAGCGCGAGGAGATCCTCCTGCGCTGGGACAAGTCGACGGCGCGCGGGCTGAACGTCGAGGCGGCCGAGCGGCGCGAGGAGCACCTCCAGCAGCGGGCCGTCGCGAAGCGCAAGATCGAGGAGATGGCGGCGCGGGACCGGACGTCGACGCGCGCGAAGCGCGAGAAGCTGTTGCGGGTGCTCGGCCGCGCGGCCGTCGTGAGCCTCGACGTGTTGGACGCCGCGCCGGCGGCGGCGGCGAACGGCGACGGCGACA